ATTAATAAATTCAATTATATTATTCTTATTCTTATTCTGATTATCTACATATTTTTCAACATATTTTTCAGGTTTATTTTCATATTTATTAATTTTTAATACTATTCAAATGCTTTTTTAAATCTTCTTTTATTTCTATTTCATATATATAACATTTAGCTAAATAATATAGTGTATCACTATTTCCATTTTCTGCTGAATTTTAATACCAATAGAAAGCTTTTTTTAAATTTTTTAATTATATACTTTTTTATAAAATAATTCTAATTTGTATTGTGTAATTTCATTTTCATTTTCTGCTGATTTTTGATATCAATAAAATGCTTTTTTAAGATCTTTTTTAATTGTTACATCTTTTTCATAAAAAAAAAAATCTAAATTATATTATGTAAAAATATTTTTATTTTCTGATAATTTTTATACTATTTTAATAATTCAGCCATCTTTTCTTAATTCCTAGTCTATAATAATAACAAATGGCTAAATTACATTATGCAATTTTATTTTTATTTTCTGCAGATTTTTGATACCAATAAAATGTTTTGTCTAAATTTTTTCACTATATACTTTTTTCATAAAAATATTTTAAATCATTTTATGCATTATTATATTTTTGATTAGCTGATTTTTTATACCATTTAAAATGCTTTATTATTATCTTTTTTAATATTCTTTTCAATAATAATAAAAATTATCTAAATTATATTATATAATTTTATTTCTATTTTTAGCAGTTTTATAATACTAATGCTTTTTCTAAATCTTTCTCTCAATTTATACCTTTTTTATAAAAAAATCCTAAAATATTTTATGCATTATTATTTTCTAGTTTTGTTGATTTTTAAATTATTTAAATAATTTATTAATATCTTATTTAATACCTTTTCTATAATAATAAAAATTACCTAAACAAATTATACATTATTATTATTTTGATTTGCTAATTTTTTATACTAATAAAATGCTTGTTCTAAATTTATTTCAACTCTGAATATTTAGTCAAACTATATTATGCATATTTATTATCATTTATAGCTAATATTTTATACTAAAAAAATGCTTTTCCTAAATTTCTTTTAATTTTTGATCTATTTTAAAAAAATATAGTTAAATTATATTGTACATTTTTATTATTATTTTTAGCTGACTTTTGATACTAATAAAGTGTATTTTTTAAATTCTTTTTAATTTTCTATCCATTTTGATAACATTTAACTAAAAAATTTTGTGTAATTTCATTATTACTTTCTACTAAAATTTGTAAATAAAAATATGCTTCTATATTACTATTTATTGTAAATTTTGATACTAATATAATGCTTTTGCTAAATCCTTTTTAATTTCCCATTTATTTTAATAACACTCAACTAAAAATATTATGCAATTTTATTATCTTTTTCTACTGAGATTTGTAAACAAGAAAATACTTTTGTAATACCATTTTTCTGCTGATTTTTGATACTAATAAAATGTTTTTTTTAAGTTATTTTTAATTTATAATTTTTTTTTAGATGTTAAAGAATAATTAGAAACTTTAATCAAGATAATTAATATACTATAAGAATCATTGCATCTGAAAAAATTAATAAAAGTTCTAGCTACTTATTAGTAATTGTATTTCTTCTTTAATATATCAGATAATAGTTTTTTTACTAAAAGATAAATCATAAAATTAATATTAAAATTAAAGGAAAAGCTAGTTCATTATATTAATATTAAATTAAAATTATCAAAAAACAATTCTGAGAATAATGAAAATCAGTAATAGAAAAAGCTTATGCATAAAGAATGAAAATATATTTAATTTATATCTAAATAATCAAAAATATACTATTATTATCTTTGTATTATAAAAGATAAAAATATAGTCTTTTTCTCATCAGTTAATTACACAGTATAAAAGTTATCACATTTATTTTTTCCAAAATTTTAAATATTTAGCTAATTATTTTTTGCTTTTAATATTTAGTTAAAATGAAAGTAATTTTAAAAACTATTAGTTCAAAAAATAATTCAAATTATGAAAATTTTTCATAATATTGAAAAAGTTATAATTTAATATCAGAATTACAAAAAGTCTTATTATTTTTTCTGTTAACAAATTAATAAACTATTTAAAATCCTTTATAAATTATGTAAATAACTCAAAGGATTAAACTAAATGAAAAAAAAACTTACAAAGCAGTATTGAATTTATAATAATAATTATATATATAAATAAGTAAGTAAAATAAATTTTAAATTTAGATCTATTTGAATTAATAGTTTAATATTATTTATATTTTATTAGAAAAAAAGTCAGTAAGTAAAGATTATAATATAATGAATAATGAAAAATAAATAACAATTTTTATTTTAAATATTTGATAATTAATTATACTATTTATTTAAAATTAATAAAAAATAAAGAAGATTATTAAAAATCTATTATCATTATATTAGATTATTTATAACAATTAGCTGAAGTTTATTATTTTCTTATTTATTTATCATATTTTACATTAAAATTCTTTTTTATTTTTTTCTTTTAGCTAAAGAATATTTTCTAAATTATATTTGATTTAGTATTATATTATCATTTCAAATACAATAAAAATGAAAATATAATAATAATTTATAATGTTATGATTAGATTTAAAAAGAAATTTTAATACATTTAATAAATAATTATATAAGATAATAATATATTATAGTAAATTTAAATTATGATTAAAATAGGGAATTGCTAAACATTGTCTGGGCAATTGTCACCTAGGCGATTGTTGCCTAGGTGATCGTTACTTAGGTGATCATTACCTGGGTTTTTTTAAATGTCACATGATGTATAATATATAAATATAACTATTGTCTATTAACAATTATTATTATTAAAAATGCAGGACCATTCGGAAGCTAATTCTATAGCAGAAGTAAGATCAGTTGGAGGCTTTTCGCCCAATCATATGGATTTAGTACTTACTGTTTTTACTCTTAGATGATGAAACCGTTTAGGAATATAGTCAAAATTTAGTTGATCTTTATTAGAAATAACTCAATTGGAATACGATTTGAGAAATCAGTTGAACTGGCAGACAGAATTTTTTTTGTGTTATCGAATATAGACTATAATAGTCTTTTGCTACACTTTAGACTAACTAACTAAATAAATAAATTAATCAAGAAAAATTCGCGCGAATTTTTCTTAAATAAATAAAAAGTTTTCTTAACTGATAGAATCGCTCCTATTCCTAGTTCTATGCCACCCACATGATGAAGATTCAGCCATAATAGTAACTCCAGTGCTATTGATACCGCTGGTGCCATTATCATATTTGTAGTAATAGTAAATAAAAAGGTATAACATTTAGCTAAGAATCAGAAGTTTGCTTTGAGTCAGTTTATTTAGAAATAAGAGATAGGATCTCTAATATACATATTTACGAAATACTAATAAAATCACTAGTAAATTTACCTCCTTTTTATCATAAATTTGTCTGAGTATTGTTCGTATAGCCAACCAATTCATAATGCATTTATTCAATAAACTGTTATGCATTAATTACAATCTGAAGTTACATGTTAATCATAAATGCAAATTCTGTTTCAAAATCCTTTATTATAACAATTTAATATTCTAAATTAATTGTTTATAAATCATTTAGATTTAGATTTCTCTTTAAGTCCATAGCTACGCGCATTATGTCCAATGCCTTTATAGTGACTGCATATATACTGCAATCGATAAGTACTAGTAGTTCCACTTGACTTTTACTTTTGATTTCCTTCTAATGCACTCTTTATACGTGTTCTTAGAGCACCTTTTGTACATGTTGTTGGCTTGGTATCTATAAACTTAAACGATAAACTTTTAATTCAATCTGTTGAACTAAATACAAGACAATATCACAATCACGCCTATATGAAGACACGACAAAAGGCAATAGTAAATGAATTTAACAATTCCTTTATTGAACTCTTGGTTTATCCTAAAACCTCAACTTGAGTTACTTTTCAACCCAAGGAAAAATACAAGATATTTATATAAAATAAAATAATATAAAATCAACTATGACAAATATAACAAATATAACAGATATAATAAATATGATAAATATGATAAATATGTCTAATATATCTACTTGATCAACGTTGACAACTTTAGCAACTCTGCTAACTTCGTCAACTTTGTTGATCATTTTGATCACATGACTTATCCATAGTGCGGTCACGGATCACGGTTTCAACATCTGATAAGGGTTGCTAATATTTGGCAGATTTTCTTTGTTAATCTCTAGTTGCCTAAAACTAGTTTCATTTTCCTTCTCTCTTATCCACTTTTGCAATATGTTATTTAATTCGTCTTCACAGCCTATTTCAAGAGCTAGTCCAATTGCTTTCTTTGCATAGCTAAAACCTTAATTATATTTGGCTTAATGAGATAAATTTTGCTTAACAGTTTCTGAAAATGCTTGTGTATGACAAATCTCATGTAATAGGCTAAAATCTGACCTAACTTGATGTTCATACATGGGTTTAACAGTATTCTTTTCGCTAAAAATTGTAATTGCAGATTTTTCTTGAAAATTGGAAAACTTTTTATTATATCATCAATCTGAAATGAGCCCTATATGAAACATGGCCTTATCTGAATTAAACATCACTGAAAAGAAATGACGACAAACTAATCCTCTTATTACAAGCCACATGCATATACACAAGTGATTAGCATTATCATATATCACCATGAAATGCTCTTTATTTTGTTCAATTGTTGTTACACGCTAAACCTCATGAATGTTAGCATGATTAAGGTATGTAATCAGAGCATATAGGTTGGATATTGGTGACTCATAGTTGTCTTCAGGAAAATTCAGCTTTTCAGATTATTCTTCATTATTGCCTTGTTTTACATCGGATTGTTCTTCATCATCGCCTTGTTCTTTATCAGATTATTCTTCATCATTGGATTGTTCTTCATCATCACCTTATTCTTTATCATCGCCTTGTTCTTCATTATCAGATTATTCTTTATTGTCAGATTGTTTTTCATCATCAGATTGTTGTTCTTCGCCATCTTCACCATCTTCATCTTGTTCGACAATCTAAATAGAAATAGAATAAGAATGTTATGTAATTTACAAGTAAATGCCAATGTTATAATTTATACCTCATTTTCGAGCAAATCCTTCCAATTCTTTACTTTATCATCACGATAAAGTAAACTCTTATTCATTTGATTGTGCTGCATTTTTAAAACACGAAGAGTAAGAAATTTTTTGATGATAGCATCTATTCTTTTGAAGTATCTCCCAACAACGTTTGGTAAACCAACTGTTAGATTTTGATTTAATTGTTCATGCCGTTCAAATTGTTGTTCTTTGTTGAGAAGTGACTGGATATGTGTATCCAATTCAAATAATGTTGCTGAACTTTTGACCAATCGTTTAATTAGAGAATTATAACCTTCAACACGTTGAGTAGACTGGATTCCCACATTGAATAATCGACTGGTATAGCATAATGCCCAGCTAGTTACAACTTGTCCAAGTGTACGAGTTAGGTATTTTTTTGCTGTCAGATAACTAGTAAGAAGTTTATACCATCGTTTTTGAAATTCATTTTCTGAGAAGGAATTCCAGCATTTATTCTACACTTTTACTAATTCATTGTAATTTTTATAGAGCTGACTTCTCAGATTTTTGTCAAGGTTTTTGCGAAGGTGCTAGATATAGTAATTATGCTTTATTGATGGTAATGTTTCATGAATAGCTGAAACCATCGCAGGGTCTGCATCAGTGAATAAAACGTTTAGCGCAAGATTGTCTGTGGCAGACAGTAAACATTCCAGAATCTACTGATAGGTTTCTTTAGTTTCGTCTGATACAATGGCAGTTGCAATCATACGCAAGCGTGCATGATTATCTACTATTATGATAAGGGACAGGTACATTCGATATTTATTTGTTTGTGATGTATTATCATTGATCACAATATCATAAAACCTGCGTTAGAGTTCAATCTGCGATGGTCTCATCCAACACAGGCCTGTAAGATGGTTATTTTCGCCTTCCAGCCTCACTTTAACAAATCATTCATGTTCCTCACGTTGTAATTTCATTAATTTTTTAAATGTTTCAGTAGCATCTATTTTCGATTTATTCTGACTATTCTGAATGTGACAAATTGCATTATATACATATTTTGGGTATATTACTATTTCAAAAAAATGTTTTTGAAGTGCGAGGATAATTGGACCCATTCCACAGCCAATATTTATGAGAAATTCAATCTCTTCAAGAATTTCTGGACTAAGATGATGATTTGATACTAAATTTTCCTTTTCAACAAGAAAGTGGTTATGTTCATTGTATAATAAGGTAATATATATGAGGCTACCAATAAGCTAAAGGTTAATTGTCTAAAGACAATTCGATTTTACATTTTTACGCTCACAGGTATCTTCTATATCAGCTTTCTTCTGTGCATGATATACTCCTGAAACTTACACTTGAAGGTTCGATGTACAATCTCACCTTCTTTGTTTTTTTCAAGCTGAAATTTCTTCACTTCAAAGCCAGTATTTTTTGCAAAGCTTTGAACTTGTTTCTCAGCCAAATCCCAGCTTTCAAACACATCTCCAGTCTCAATACCAAATAATGAATATTCTTCTTTGTTAGACACACTTTCATATTCATATTTATCTTGTAGTTCATTAATATCATCTATCTCTTCTTCTGAAGAGTACACCTCAAAAAGGTGGTGCTTATTATGCACATTATCCATTTGATCTATTTATAAAAAGTGATTAGGTAAGATAGGAGTTTGTTTATTTTGGGCATGCTGTATGCTAAATACTGTGTAATACATGATACATTAGTATTGTGACGCATTTTTAGTTACACGTGAGAGTTTATAGATCTCGGCTATATTCTTAAACAGTTTCATTATCTAAAAGTGGGGACCGTAAGTACTAAATCTATATGATTAGGTGAAGAGCCTCTGACTGGTTTTGCTTCTGCTATAGAATCAGCTTCTGAATGGTCCTGCATTTCTAATAATAATAATTGTTAATAGACAATAGTTATATTTATATATTATACATCATGTAACATTCAAAAAAACCCAGGTGATGATCACCCAGATGACGATCACCTAGGCGACAATTACTCAGGCGATGTTTAGCAATTTCCATTAAAATAAATAATAATTTGATTAAATATTAATTATTTAATATAAAATTAATAGATTTATATGTATAGTATATTATATTAATAAATATATTAAAAATTTTTTTTATTAATTTTTAAAATTTTAAATTTTATAATAAGTTAAAAAGTATTAGAAATTTTAATTAATTTTTTATTAATTTGATTTATATTTATAATATTTCTTAAATATAAAATTAATATTTAAAAAATTAATATTTAATAAAATTCAAAATTTAAGATTAGTAAAAATAATTTTATTAAGTATTATTAATTTATATATTTTTATTATAATTATAAATATACAGTGCATTAAGAAAATCTTTAGATAATTTTCTGTGACTAAATTAGATCTGCATAAATTTTCTATTTTAAGTTAGAATTTTGGTAACTAAAATAGTATTTATTGATTATCGAATCAATCTTTTTTTTTTATAGCATGTTGAACTTATTACCACATTTTTTTTAGAATCAAATGAAATATGAATATTTATTAAGACGTACATATAAAAGTTATCCAACAATTATGGGATAGAAGAATACAAAATGTAAAGGAAATTAGAAAATAAACAGATCTTCTAAGATCTATTATATACTATAATATTTTCAAACTAAAAAAATGAAAGCATAACTTACTGAAAGCGTAGTGGTTACCCTTCAAAAATCTTTTCTGAAAACTCTAAAATATTAGTCTAAAAAGTAAAAAAGAATCCTGTAATATCATCAAAAGCACTAGCTACTAAATTATTAAAAAAAAAAGTTCAGGTCTCTCATGTAATTGTTTAGAATCATTTAAGCTAACTTAGCTACAAAAAAATCGAGTAGTAGTAACATCTATGCTTATTAAAGAGTACATGTAAAAATGTGTAAAATGGATGAAAAAATACCTCAATAATAATTAGAATTAAACAGTATTTTCTGATGAAATAACTTTTCAGTTGTTTAGAAATATAGTAAAATATTGGTATAAAAGTAAATAGCCAATATGATAAATTCTAAAAGATAAAAAAAATTTTAACTTAGAATGGTTTTAGTAAAAAAAGGATAAGTCTTTTTATTTTCAAAGGATAATGGATGGTTTATTTTATATTGAAATTTTAAAAAAACACTTTTCTAAAATTAAAAAAAAGCTTGGAAATTATTGGCAGTTTTAATATGACAATAATCTTAAGTATAAAAGTAAAGTGGCTAAAGTATTTCTAAAAAAAAATGCCCTGATAGTAATAGATTAGCCTTTTAATAGTTCTGATTTAAATCCTATAGAAAATTTATGAAGTATTACCAAGAAAAATGTTGAAAAATAGTGGCCAAAAAATTTAAATAAATTAGAATGATTTATGAAGAAGGAATGGGAAAAAATTCCAGAAAACATTCTAGTGAATTTAGTAGGATCAATGAAGAAACATTGTAGATTTGTAATTGAAAAAATAGGAAATGTATTTCATATTAAATTTTCGTAAATAAAAATAAATAAAACTTTGATTTTTTGGCTTTCTAACAAATTATTTTCACGTGATTTAGCATAGTTATTTTGAAATTATTAACGTTTTAAGTTGTTTAAAAACTTTCTTATTGCACTGTATTTAAATTTAATAAAATATTAATTTTATAAAAAATAAGGTATTATATAAATTTATGTCAATTACTTATATTAAATGTAAAATTTTAATATAATATTATTTGTAAATAAATATTTATAATTTATATAGAAAATCTAAAAGAAATAATTGTAAAATAATTAAAGGTTTAGGTGAAACCTAATAATTACGTCCAATCTGAATCTGAAATCTAGGCAATATTAATTACGCTTAACAAAAAATTTTTAAAATGTTCGATTGAATCTGATACTATTCAAATCAGAAATTCAATCAGAATTAATTGAAATTCTCTGAAACTTAATTATTTACGTAAAAATTAAATATATAATATTATTAGTAAAACAAATATTAATACATTCACATCTTACAAAATAATGGCTAATTTAAGTATTTTAATTGATGATATTTCATTATTTAAATGAAAGTTAGTGGAAAATCTAAATCAATAGTTTGAAAAATATATATTCAATAAAAAAAGCAAATTTTAAAAGGTTATTAAAACACAATATGTAATTTTTATAGAGTCTTTTAGTATAAAAGCTCACTAGTAACTCTTAAAAACTACTTAAAAAATTTGTATGTAAAAGTTTTAGCAGAAATTTGTGACTTTTTTTAAAACATTTAGCAATGAAAGCGGGTAAAACTAGTGAGACTTCTTTAAAAAAATGAAAAAAAAATGAAAATTTGATTACCAACTATTTCAGCTAACTCAAATAAAACTTTCTAATTATATTAAAAGTACTAAACTTATATCTAAATATATTAAAGAGATAAACATATTATTTAAAAGTATTTATTATTTATAAAATTTCTTTTCACATTATTGAAAATTTATTCTTTATTAAACTATTAAAACTTTATGTTTAGCATATAATCTTCTATCAAAAAATATTCTTTTTGAATGACATTTAACATAAAAAATAGCTTTTATTAATCAAGAAATAATTAAATAATTAAAAAATTCTAAGAATCTAACATTAGATAAGTTTTTTTTTTATTTTTTTATTTTTATATTTTTATAAAATTAAATTCTAAAAATTATAATTAATTAATAATTTAGCTTATGATAGATAGAGTAATCCTTCTAATGAATTAATTTGAAATTTTATTTTATATAAATCTGATCATTGTCAATATTTATGAAGTCTTTAAAACTTATCTAATAAAAGGCATACTAAAGAACTATTTGCAAAAAAAATAGATTTAATTTTAAAAAAAGTTAGTTCAAAAAAAATATCTACTATTGTAACAGATGCTGATCCTAATATTCAAGCTATATGACAAATTATTATTATAAATAATATTCAAGCATTTTAAATATTAGATGTATAATACATACTATTAATCTAATTTTAAAAGATATTTGTAATACTCCATTTGCAGATAAAATATTTAAAATGCTATATTACTTTAATTACTTATTTTAAAAAATGTTATTTTACAGGTATGTAAATAAAAATTTATTATTATTTAATTTTATTTATTATTTTAATAAATAAATTCTTTTATTAATATTATTAATTTAAATTATATTATAGGTAATACTCTTAAAAACTAGCTGAGAAAAATTTAATTAAAAGTGGAGATCTTAAATGATAGGTAGAAATGCATTAGTATATAATGTATAATTATGTATTTTTTATTATAAGACATAAAATACCATTAAATACTGTAAGTAATAAATAATTTAATTATATTTAATAATTTTAAATTTTAAATTAATTTTATTTATCTTATTTTATAGACTCTTTATAATCATGTGGAAGTTTAAATATTTCAGTACAATTAATATTATGCATAAGAGCATTTTTTGATAATTTGCTTGCTTTAGCATTCATACTTTGTTCAGTTAAATTAATTATATCTACTTTTAAATTACAAGATTGTTCATTAGCAGATTGTTTTATTGGTTAGCTTATTTAGGAGTAGCTATAAAAAATCTTCCTAAAAATGATTATTATACTTTTTGTCAATAATTATAATAATACTTATATTTTATGCTTTTTTACATCTTCGATATAAAGGTAAATTAAATAATTTATTTATTTTTTTTTATTAAAAAATTAAATATTATATAATAATTAAATAATTATAATTTATTTATAGATTTAGTTTAGGTAAGAAGAATATTTTAACGAATTCTTTTTACAGTAGATAAATATTATGAAAAAATAAATAAAACTTTAAAAAAAAAAAAGTATTAATGACTCAAATAAGAAATTATCAATATCTCATTGCACTGTTTGATATATTTTTGATAATAATAAATCTTATTCTACCTGATAGTTTTCTATTGAGAAAAATTTTTCAAAAAATGAGAATCATATTTATTAATTAGCTAATAAGTTATTTGCAATAATACTATATACATCTGGTTGTGAAAGGATTTGGTCAACATTAGGATAGTATTATGATAATTATTATATGTAACTTTCATTAAACAAAATCAAAAATATGTAAAAACTTTCTGCTTTTAATCTTACAAACTCAAAAAATGAATTATCTTATTTTTTTATTAATAAGACCATTGAAAATTTAAATAAAATATTATATAATGCAAATCTTTATGATAATGAAAACTTGAAAGAAGAATTTATTAATAAAGTAAAATAAAATATTTTTCCAATTTCTAAGAAAGAAATACTTAATATTGAAGAATTATTAAATCTTCATACTGATAATGTTACTAATAGTAATAATAATGAGATAATTAGCATTTAAAATAATAATAGTGTTAAAAAAGATTGAGATCCTAAAAGAAAAGCTGATTTAATTTTAAATGAAAATTAAAATATTAATTTTTATTTCCTTAAATTTGTAATTTCTTTGAAAATATAAAATAATTACTT